GGGGCCGCCGGAGGACCGGGACGGACGGCCCCCCGCGGAGGCCTCTGGGCCCCCGGCCCACGCCCTGCTGCTCGGGGGCTTCGGGAGGAGCAGGGCGCCCAAGGTGAGCGGCGCGGGGGCGGGAGGCTGCAGGGGCGCGGGCGGCTGTGGCTAATGCACGCCTGTGTGTGGGGTCGCTCGGAGGGTGGTGCCTGCGCCTGGCGGCCGTCAGTGTTCCTTGAGTAACTTCACAGGTTAACGCGCGGCACGTCGGCTGCTTATTCTGCCGTTTTTATTTTGATGGTTTGAATTCTGCATAAACTGAGTATGTTTAGTTTCAGTTGTAAAAGTATTACTTTCTTATTCTCTAAATCAACATTATCAAGTTGGTTTCTGTGCTGCTGTCAAAGAGGTCTTTGTAAACAGCTTTGGTCGTTTGGGGTACACCCTTGAACTTTTGCTGTGCTCTCACGAACCTAGGGAACAAAACAGAAGATTCCACTAGGTTGCTGGACTGGCTGGGTCTCTGTCTTAGTGAGGGAGGTTTTCAGTAAACAAGTCGGTGAGCCAAGAGTTCTTGGAGGACGACGATTACCGTAAGGAAGAGAGGTTTGGCAGGGTGGGCAGGGGCACCGTCATATCAGGGCATGTGTGGAGGTCCACTTCGAATTGTGATCAGAAGACAGGAATCAGTCTAGTTAAGATGGGGGTGGGAGGTTGTGCCAGGCAGAGGGCAGGGTTGGGGCAAAGGCCCTCCGGCAACAATGAGCTTGCTGTGTAAGAACAGAGGTATGTATAGCTGGGGGACGTCCAGTGATAGGAAAGGAGGTCGGGGGCAGGTGAGTGCCAGTTCACAGGGGGCCTTGCCTTGCGACTCAGAGCCTGGATGTTGTTGTGGGTGAGAGGGGACACCCCCAGGGAGCGTTTTCCGGAGACTGGCACCTTCTGGTGTCTCTTAATTACTGTAAAGTCTGCGTGGAAAGTGGGTAGTGAGGGATCAAGGAAGAGCTGGGAGACTAGTTAGATGGTTCGTCGGGGCCTCTTTCCTGCAGCCTCTTAGCCCGAGTGTCTTGAGTCCTTGGTTTCTGCAGCCTTGCTCCCCAGCCAGGCAGGCTTTGGAGTATTCACCTGGCCTCTTTCTCACCCTTTGTGATAGGTCCAGCCTTTCCTGCCAGCGTGGCTGGCTGAGCCAAGTTGTGTTGGAAAGAACGTCACCAAAGACCTGGTGCCTATCGAGGATATTCCTGAGGTCCACCCTGACCTGCAGAAGAAATTGCGGGCACATGGCATCTCATCCTACTTTCCAGGTGCCCCAGCCCTGGGACAGGGGAATTCCTCATAGAGCATCCTCACTCAGAGTCACACAAGGCCATAGCTTAGCAGCTGCCAGGGCCAACAGCCCCTACATGCCCCCACCATCAAGTGTGGTCTTGGTCTCGGCATCTTCGGCCACCTGAGCCTGACACTCCTTGAGGCTCTGATGCCGCCCTGGAGTGAGAGCAGTGCCGTCCAGAGATCACAGATGGGGGAAGGCTGCTTCTGGCCGTGAAACCTGTGTTTATTCTGGGTGTCCCTGCACAAACATGACTTGCCTCTTGCTCTCCCTTGTCCAGTCCAGGCGGCAGTGATCCCTGCTCTCCTGGAGAGCGCGGCCAATGGGTTTCTGGTGGGCAGAGGTGGCTACCGACCCAGCGATCTTTGTGTTTCTGCCCCGACGGGCAGTGGGAAGACCCTGGCCTTCGTCATCCCCGTGGTGCAGGTGAGTGTAAGGACCCTCCCACCCTCCAAGTGGTCCTGACCGGCAGGGAGCTGGCCCTGCTGACGCAGCTGGCTATCTCTCCCTCTGCAGGCCCTGCTGCATCGAGCCGTGTGCCAGGTCCGAGCCCTGGTCGTGCTGCCCACCAAGGAGCTGGCCCAGCAGGTAGGTGGACCCCACACCTGGAAGTCAGACTCTGAGTCCCTGTCACTGTGGTGTGGGGCCTCAGGCCAGTGCAGTGACGGCTGCTCCTCCTCCAGGTCAGCAAGGTGTTCAACATCTACACAGATGCCACTTCTCTGCGGGTCGCCCTGGTCACCGGGCAGAAGTCACTAGCCAAGGAGCAGGAAACCCTTGTCCAGAAGACGTAGGTCCTGCTGGGCCGTGGGCTTAGCTTGTGCAGCAGGAGCAGGCGGCAGCCGCATTGTAGCCACCTGGTCCCCGGGGGAGCAGAGCGCGCTGCCATCCGCAGGTTCCCCACGCTGGGGGGCTCAGTGTGGGGGCCCCCGCTAGGCAGCTCTCTGCTCCACAGAGTGGACGGCTTCCGCTGCATGGCTGACATCGTGGTGGCCACCCCTGGCCGCTTGGTGGACCACATCGACCAGACCCCAGGATTCAGCCTCCAGCACCTCCGCTTCCTGGTAGGTTGCCAGCCCTGAGGGAGGCGCAGTCCTGAGCTGAGGCTGACCTCAGCCACCAGACCCCTGGCCTCCCGTCTCCCACAGGTCATCGATGAGGCTGACAGGATGATAGACAGCATGCACCAGTCCTGGCTGCCACGGGTGGTGGCAGCAGCCTTCCCGAGCGAGGGCGCCAAGGACCCCTTTGCTCTGGTCCAGAGAAGGCAGCCCCAGACCGTGACTGCTGCCAGGTACCTGGCACCGAGCTTGCTCTGCCCTCAGGGCTCCCTTCCTTGGTCTCTCCAGTCTCTGAGACCCACTCCTCCTGGTCTGGTCTGGTCTGGTCTGGGGCGCCCAGCCTTGAGGAAAACCCTCCCGGGACTTAGATAGGGCAGGCTGGTCAGGCCTCAACTGCTCTCCCAGCGCCCGCTCCTCTTTCAGTACCTGCTGGCCCCAGATGCCGCTACAGAAGCTCCTTTTCTCGGCCACTCTGACCCAGAACCCCGAGAAGCTGCAGCGGCTCGGCCTGCACCAACCCCGGCTCTTCTCCACGGGGCTGGCACAGGGAGGTTCCAGAGATGCTGACACGGAGGTGGACGGGGACTCGGGTGGGAAGTACACCTTCCCTGCAGGGCTCACGGTAAGCGGGGCACACGGGGACAGGGAGGGGGCACGCCCCGGTGCTCAAGGCCCCGCCAACCCCGTGCCATCCCCCACAGCACCACTACGTGCCCTGCAGCCTCCGCTCCAAGCCACTGGCCGTCCTGCACCTCATCCTGGAGATGAGCTTCTCAAGAGTCCTCTGCTTCACCAACTCCCGAGAGAACTCCCACAGGTGAGGCCGGGCAGGCCGGGGCAGGGCAGGGGGGGGTTGAGGCAGAGGCAGTGGCGGTCCTGGCCCCGGCCCACTTGGCTCTGGTGTCTCCCCCCAGGCTCTTCCTGCTAGTCCAGGCTTTCGGTGGGGTGACCGTGGCTGAGTTCTCTTCCCGCTATGGGCCTGGCCAGAGGAAGACGATCTTGAAGCAGTTCGAGCAGGGGAAGATACAGCTGTGAGTCCTTGGAGAGTGGGCCTGGTCTCACTCTGGGGAGCAGTGGCGTTCACTCCTCATGTCAGCTTGGGCCCCCTGAAGGGTGCCTTCTACGGGAAATTCGCCTCCTGACTCCGTGGCGGTGTCCCCAGCAGGGCTGGAGGAGGGGGGTGGTCCCGGCTCCTGGCCTTGGGCAGGCCCACAGCCCCTCGTGTCCCACCAGCCTCATCAGCACAGACGCCACGGCCCGTGGCATCGATGTGCAGGGCGTGCAGCTGGTGGTCAACTATGACGCCCCCCAATACCTGCGGACCTACGTGCACCGGTGAGGGCCGGCCTGGGGATGCATGTGCAGGGCTGCTCCACAGTTTGGGTGGTGGGTGGCCTGGAGAGAACCCACTGTCCGTCAGACCCCGGAAGGGTTGGGGGCCACCACTCTGGAGACAGCTGTGCTTGGTTTCAGGGTTGGGAGAACAGCGCGTGCCGGAAAAACCGGACAGGCCTTCACGCTGCTCCTCAAAGTGCAGGTCAGTCCGTGTGGGTCTTGGCGGGAGGCCGGGGAGGCAGGGGCCTCTGCTCTTGGCACTACCTGGGGAGGACGGCGCCCCCTTCCCAATCATGTGCTTCTCTCCAGGAGAGGAGATTCCTCCGGATGCTGGCTGAAGGCGGGGTGCCTGAACTGGAGCGGCACGACATCCCTGGAGAGCTCCTGCAGCCACTGGTCCCTCAGTACGAGGAGGCCTTGTCCCAGCTGGAGAGGGCCATCAAGGTAAGGGGCCATGGTGATCTCGTGTCTCTAGGGAGGACGTGAGGTTGCTCACATAGTTAGAACACGTGGGAAAGGGACATGAGGCCCTGGGTTTGCCCTCGAGCTTCCTGGCGGGAGGAGACCTGGGTTCCAGTGATGGAGGCGCATGGCCCTGGGAGGGGTGCTGGGACTAGAACTGTGCTTTCTGAGCGAGCACCCAGTGTCTCTTCCTGTTAGGGAGCGAGGGGCCGGGCCAGCAGACTAGTGGGGGTGTGGGAATGGAACAGTGCTGAGTCCCCTCTCCTCCTCCCACAGGAAGAGCGAAAGCAGAAGGCGGCCTAGCCAGGGGCCGAGGACAGATGAGACCAAGCCTGCGGCAGCGCAGGCCCTTTCCACCCTGGCAGGTGTCTGTTTTCTGTTGGAGTCGGCTACCTTTTTTCTAGAAAAATCCTGAGCGCTGGATGCTAACTTGTGAGGAAAAGACGGATTCCTCGAGTTTCCTGGGGACAGACCCTGGAAAGGGCATTTGTCCCCAAGCATGCTGCCCGCTTCTGCCAGGCCCCTGGACACGAGGCCCTTTCAGTCACCACACCAGGCCTGGCCTTGGGGACACTTGGACCCAGGCCTGAGACTGTCAAGGATGCACAAGATCAGCCTCTGAGCAGGGTGGTCTTTCTGAAAACAGGACTGTAGTAAACCACCCAGAACTCACGGGATGGCATCTGTTGTGTTTTTGGCTGAGTGTCAGGGGTTAGGCTTGAGCTAACTTTGGAAATTTAGCTCTTCTAACATGATGCTGAGCGTGTTTACCGTCCTGCGTTGGAAAGGTCCCCCTGGGTCCCTTGGCGGGGGGGGTGCGGTGGCTGTGCCGGGCCTGGGGGCTGCTGAGCAACATCTGTAAACCCTTCCTGGTCGCTTCACAGCAGACCCGGGAAGGAGAGTGTGACCTGGGAGGTGTCTCCATCGGCATAGGTGTCACCAGAGGCAGAGGACACAGCCGTGTGGTCAGCAACGCTTTACTTTACAATTAGTCACCAACCGGGTATAAAAATAAACTCGGCACAAGATAGTCTTTGTCACGAACGTAGCAGAAAACAAGCTTCGGAGCACTGACTGCTGTTTACAAGAAGGCTTTGTTTTCAAAATTTATATGCTAACGTTGCAACAAACTCTAAAAAATAGGGATGAACTGTGGTTCTTTATTTTTGTCTGAAAGTATGTTATTCACTTCAGCAAAATAATCTGAAACAAACCCTTGCATTCTGTGATTGCTGCCGCCCGAGTAGACGCTTGGAGCAAGTACCCATCTCAAGGGCGAGGGACATGTTCACAGACAGCACAGACACCTGAGGGCTGGGAACCAATAGGCTCGGTGCAAAATGAGCACCTGGCACGTGCCAGAAACGTGAGGCCCAGGACCTGAAGGGGCGCGAGAGGGACGGTGCAGGCACGGGACGGACCGCGCCTTCTGACGAGAGGCATCTCTCCATCACACGGCCTCCAGGCTGGGCCTGGCATCCAGCTGTGGGACCCTCCTACCTGTGAAACGGAGCAGCGACAGTCAGGCAGCAGCGCCCTTGCCCTGGTCCAGCCCGGGCTGTCCTGCTCTCACATCTGGACAACTTGCACTTCTACAGGACTCGCCGTGCTCGCCGTTGGGCCACCGCCCGCTCCCTCAGCTGGGTGTGCTGGGGGCCTTGAACCTGACGGGGGGGCCCTGCCTGGACTTTGGGCTGCTGACTGGGGGTCTTGCTGGCGGCCGGAGCCTGCTCAGGGCTCAGCGTCTGTGGGGAGGCGGTGGTCACGACCTGCAGTTGCACTGCTCTCTGCTGGGCCGCCACTGTCACGGGAGGCACCTGAGCCTGCGTCAGCTGTGGTCTGAGCCTATACGTTGGAGGGAATGTGACAGGTACACGGTTCTGTAAAAGGAGGACTTCACATTGCTGTCACCTTGGGGACAGATTAGCCCCCCAAGGGGCTGAAACCTGTCTCAGTGAGTGGGGAGAGTGCAGTTGGTGCCAAAATAGGAGCCCCCCCCTGAGGCCCTTGACAGTGAGCTCTGACATGAGAATCACCACCCCCACGCACCCTGCGCTCTGAACAGGACTTGTACCCACGCGGGGTTCGTAATGTCATGCAGGGATCAGTTGGTAAAGACTGATTCAGGGAGTTAGGTAGACCTTCCATTCTGCAACGTTGTCACACATCAAGGACCCTCTAAAAGCCACTGTCCCCTCAGGAGAGGGAGCAGCGGAAAGCAAACAGCATCTTACAACATTGTGGGGGCAGCTTTGAGCTTGCAGACCTCCGGGGACCCCCAGATCGCACTTGGAGAACCACTGGTCTAAAGCAAAACACCATGTGGCTAAGAATCGTTTCCCTCTGGCCTCTATGTTCTGTCAAAGGCCCACTGACAAGAACCAAAACCGTGCAGGAAATGAAATAAAAAATATTTAGTGATTTAAAAAGGAGACCTTCATAGAGGCTCAGGAGATCATATGATTAGAAAACACACAAACCAGCTTTGAAGTCAGACATGAGCTGATCTCTTGAAAATGCAGGTGCTTACATAATAAAAGGAAATAACACCCACTCGACTTACGGGGTTTAATTGGCGGCTCCTCTTTCCTGCGATCACTGTCATCACCTCAGTGGCTGGAGTGCCCTGCGTCAGGGCGGCGCCCTCGTCCTGGGCATAGAGCTGGTGGGTGCAGGGGGAGAGCACGGCACAGCGTGCGCCTGGCGTGCGTGCGGGATCCGCTCACGCCCGTTCACAGGCAGCTCAGCCACCCGGGCGCTGCACTCGCTACAGCCCAGAGAGCCAGGCCCCGGTGTTCCCAGTGCTCGGCCTGGAGCCAAGAGGCTGATTCACATCAATACATACTTGCTGGGCACCTGGATTCCAGGCAGGTGGTGTTTTTGCCCTGAAAGACCTTATAAATCAGTGAGAGAACAAAACACGTGTACAAAACCTGATCTTACAGGGCACCTGTAAGCGCCATAGGATGCAACAGGCAGAATCCCCGAGGACTCCAGGGAGGGCGAGAGCACACCAGGCGCCTTTCCACAGTGGGGAGGGCAGGAGAGGTGGCAGCGTCAAGATGCCGAATTCTGCGCTGCCCCCACTGAGGGCTGGTCCACGTCCAGCCTGGAGAGCGGCTGTGCCAGCTTCTGTCTCTCGGACACTGGTTCCGAGGGCCCTGAGCACACCCTGCAGGCCAGGCTGCACGTGGGTGCTCCAGCCTCAGTCCTGCTGCCACCCCACGGGCCAGACGAGCCCATCTGCCAGCTGGTTCCACCTGAGGCCCCCCCAGTGCACCCTAATTCCTGACTCACAAGCCTGGGGGGTGGGGTGGCATTGTAAGCACTATGTTTTGGGGTTGTAGCTGACCCGGCAATAGGTAACTGCGGCAGAACATTCCAGCTACAGGAATCAGCACCAGGCTTAGAGGCCAGGGCAGGTGCCAGCATGAAGGGACAGACTGAGAGCGGGGAGTCGAAGGGCAGCCTGACCGTCCAGGACCCGACTGCTGCACGAGAAGGCCTCTGAGCAGAGCGGTGGGATCAGAAACATGCAGGTGCTGCTGGGGGGTGAGCCGGAGGGTGAGCCCGAGGGTGACTCGGAGGGCGGCGGGCTGACCTGGGAGCAGGAAGAAGACGCTGCTGCGGGGAGCAGTGGGGACCAGGGCTCCATGGACGGGAGGGCCACCGTTCACAGTGAACAGGCCCTGCAGCCTCAGGGCAAGGAGACGGGGAAATGGGTTCCCTCTCACAAAAGCAGGGAAACGAGGGCGAGGCGCTTGTTTTGGGCTTGAGTTGGGCAGCCAGGCGAGGAAGAGAGGGTGGGGGGCAGTGAGGTGGGACCATGCTCAATCGTGGTCAGTGCCTGTGGCGCTCACGTGTCCGTCAGGCCACCTAGAGGTCAGCACGTCTCTCGTGTGTATTCTGGTCTGAAAGGAATCTCCGTGCTTGCAACCTGGCCGTCTCCTGCCTGAACGTCCTGACACCTGTGAGGACACAGGAACCACCCCGCTGCCCCCATGCCGCCGGCCCACATCCTGTCTGCCTCCGCGCCCAGAGCCACCACCACCCGCGTCTCTCGCTGTACCACCACCTGCGTGAAGCCTGCTGCCCCTCCAGCACCCATTCTTGCCTCCGATCTCTTCCCATTTGTGGCCAAAATGATCTTTTCAGAACACGATCTTGTCACATCCTCCTCCTGCTGGCACCCAGTGAACAGCTTCCCGCTGCACGGCTGGTGCCCTGTCCACCCAGTCTGTCCGCCCTGCACTCCCCACAGCCCAGCCACAGCTTCGCTCACGTCCTCGATGGTCAGCGCCCTCCTTTGTGCTACTCTGTTGGACGCCTGCTCCTCTCCATCCACCCCTGGGGGCAGCCAGGGGACTCACCACTCTCCAGAGCTTGGCTCCCACCAGCCTCCCCAGGTCACAGCTAATGTGCCCCCACCTGCCCGAGGCCCGTATTCGACCTTTCTCTCTCTGAGGAGGGGTGGAGAGAGAAGCGTCAGAAAGCACAAGTCGTGAACCTGCCCGTCCCCGGAGACGAGACCTGGGAGGTGGTGTGACAGTGCCGTCCTTACAGCCCTGCACAGAGGGCCTCCCGCTGTGGGCCGAAGGGCCCCTCACAGAACAGCACGCAGGGGTTCAGAAACGGCTCACTAGCGGGGGTGGGGGCTCCGGGCCCTGCTGCGCCCACGGGGACATCACGACCCCCAGGAGGTGGCGAGGCCCTGGGCCTCGGGCTGGGAGCTGGGCTGACAGCGGGGTGCTCGAGGCGCACCCTAGGAAGCCTGCTCCATCCTCAGCTCCTTCCTCAGGCCCTAACTGTGAGCGTGCGGGCGCTGAGTTAACAAAGGAGCGGCTCCCACGCCTGTGAGCCCCAGAGGCCGCAAGCGCCTGCAGTTCTTGCCCACGTCCCCCGCATATCCCGGCGTGTCAGCTCCCACAGGCGGCACTGGCAGAGCCGTGGGATGAGGGAGCCTCTCCCAAGGCAGATTTCCAAACCTCAGAGTATTCTCCAGTCCACAGAACAGAACGTGAAAACGAAATGTGAGTATTAAAAACAAACCACACACCTCTCATATCCAAACATGGATAAAATGTCAGAAAAGAGTTATTCCAAAATATTTCCAGGGGCTCTCTCTCCTGCTGGAGGACTAATGGTGACTTTTTTTCTTTATGTTTAACTCTCTTTTCTAAATATTCTATGATGAACAGTAACTTTGTCTTAAAAAAAATGTAATGTTAAAAGTGACCATTAAGAACTAAAGACTTTTAGAAACCATTAAAACATCAATTAAAAAAAACAAAAAATTAAAATAAATAAATTTTGAAA